TGCGTAGCCAGTTTCAACTAGTGACCCCTCAATTTTATGTTGCAGCTAACTTCTAATAGGTGGCTGTAAGCGTGACCAGGAATTTTCAAAAGTTGTTGCACCAGAATGAGTTTGGCACGTAGACAGTGATACGTTCCGCTGTACATTAAGGTTTTCAGTCGCAGATGGGATAGCAGGTGAAGCAATCCCTTCACATTTTTGCTTGCCGTTCGCTGTGTGGTCTCTAGTACAACCAGGTCACGTTCCAAGCAAGGTTGCCAAGGCAGAATCGCGTACAATGCATGTGAATTCCCATATGCACTGAGCATTTCGTGGACGATGGGGGTCGAACCACCCGAACACTCTCGGTAAGCGTCTAACAGTTTAGTTAGCGCTATTTGGACGCCTTCAAGCACTGCGTCGAACAGCCGAGGTCGCCTTACATCATCACTCCAAGGTCGCCTTCCTGTGAGGTGATTTTCAACATGTCGCTTCCAAGCTTATACGCAAAAGCGATCTCGTAGAATAATGTATAGTGTTACACTTGTCTGTGTTGAACCGGGGTAGATTTGCCTCTGACCATTCAAAAGCACTGTTTAGGTCTCTTTACAGCAAACCGTAGTCGTCCAGACAACCGATCGCCTGCCATAGCTTGATATCCTAATAAAAAAGCCTGAAATTTTTCTCGATGTCCTACTCGAAGTCACTGATGAAGAGCAAGAATGAGCGCGACCCTAACACTGACAGTTGTGTAACACGGCAGCCCACGTCAGTCGGATCAGAGAATGATTTCCAAACCCTAACCTAAAGCAGCCGTTAAAGGAGGAAATTTTCGATTCATACAAGGACTGCGTTCACAATTGTGTGAATTAGCAGTCTTTGAAGAAGGATACAGTGACCTAAGCGGTAGAAGTCTATAGAAAAGTCGAGGTAGATGATAGCCATGCCGGTGCATTTATCGGCTATTTCGGTCCAACTGCAGCACGCTCAATAGATTGGTAGTACTTCACAGAAGCCAACGGAATCCGTGTTATTCCGCTGCTATGCTGTTCCAACTTCTGAATGGGTCCATTAGTGCCCCAGTTATGAAGCACTGCATCACTGTTGAGAGCACGTCGAGCAGGATTACTGGACGAAAGTTGTTGGGCTTTAAACGGCTAATTTGCCAAGAAAAGCAAACGGAACCCTTTTAGCCGGCAGCGCTATTAGTCGTATTAGGAATTTAGTGACAAATAAACTGAACCTTCAAATCTCCCCAAACCTAAGTTAAACACGGACGGACACTGCTCACTAACATCTCTGATGTCTTGACAACCGCTTTCATGCTTTTGTCCGGCAAACTGGATACAGCACAAGCCTCGTCATCACTCGAAAAATGCATTTTCCAAACTTGGTGTGCAGCTGACGATGCACCGTGACACATTTCAAGACATCTTCTGAGCGAGAAATAACTTTGCCTCAAGTGTCACTGTGATCATTTAATCATTGTTCCTCAGCACGAATCTATCTGGAATGACACTGTCAACTAGACAATTGAAAACATCACAAGAACGAGTCAGGACCTTCAGCTCCCTAATAGGGTTCTTAAAAGTTTCGTTTGGGTGCATGATTTAGATGAAAAATAGATACCGCTGATACGTCTCTTTAGTCTGGCCATGGCAGAAATCTTCGAAGTTTCGGATGACTGTTTACAGATCAGCTGAGACTTCGTCTTTCTCGTACCGCATCGTTTCCATATTGTGACGCGCTTTAACTCCCATGGGATGTTGCAATACTCCCAAGTGATACGCCACCGGTTGTTCATTCAGTCGCACCGGTACGCAGAAATCGATCCACTTACTTTTCTGAATTCTCCGATTACTAACCAAGGTCTGTTTTTCCATCTTCAATGAGGTAGCTATTTGCACGGCTGATTATGCTCCATTTCGCAATTGAGCCTCATTGGGTGATTATGTCTTGGTCTTTTTGGACACCATGTCGCAAAACTCGTTCCTTCAGCGACAAACTGTTTATCAGGCGAAGAAAGCTCAGAGAATATGATAACATGCCCAGTATATAGTAACCTCTATCTAATTAACCAGGTCACTTCCAGTGTTAACGACGATTCTGCATTCATGAGATTCTTTCTTTGAGTCCGTTAAACAAACCTGTCTCCAGCGTAGTTACATAGGAACCAAGTGGCGCATAGGCAAATATACGTACTTAGGCGTCTAATCAACTGCTCTGTTCTCTCGTGGCTAGCTAGCAGCATGTTTCATATAAATCCGCATCATTATTTTGCTTACATAATCGCATCACATACTTTATTCGTGGTAATCTGCCGTCCGGTGGATTCGCTCTACTGACGAGTCCCAAGAGGATGAAACAGCCGTCTAGCGCTTTCCTGGATGTGTGGTGGCTGTCTGGTTGTCTAGCTGCAAGCCGTCTTCCAAAAAATGCAATTAACCCCCTAGTGCTCACGGACCTAAGAAACTGATCATACGGTGTATTGCAGGGAGCCATAAACCTGACAAGTGTAGGCGACCAGGGTGAACATTACTCACACTTGACCTTATAAGGCAGACATTATTCGACAATGGGTTTTTAATTAGCAAACGCTTCTATGGTCAGACATATTCAGATTTGTTCAGAGTGACCATTTCTACATGGTGGTCTATCATCGTTACATGCCGTCAGCTAGCCACATGGAACACTTTTGAAAGCATGGTTGAAACAGAAAGCATACATTTGCATATCATCTAGTTGGTCGAGCCTGTACATGGTCATACTTTATGCTTGTCAGAACTGTTGAGGTGCAAAAGCCACGCATCAGATAACACATGCTTGTTGGTTGAGCTTTGGTGTGTTTTAACGATTGAGCAGTGCGAGAGTTTATTAACACAAGCGCTGTACTAATTGCCCGTTTATAAAATCAAGTGAAATAGTTGATTGACTTCAGCAATTGAAAAAGCATGCATCTACCAGCTTCTCTCTTCTTTCTAGACAACATTTTGCCTTGATTGAGTGGTTATTAACTCTGTGTAATTTTACGATGCTTCGCTAATTCTGGATCACAGTCTGATGTCACACCGAATGACAAATGAAATGGCCTGAATTTATGACATATGTACCGATTACAATGCACTAAATAAACAGACGAATTTGATCGTAAGTAATTGAAATTATTGCTGAAATTATATTACCATTAACCAGCTGAGGTGAGCAAGAAATTTGGCCAAACTTAAAGGGCTTTCTCGCTGTTCAAAAGCAGAAATATTTGCTGAAAAATCCGAATAGCGCTAAAGTACATGTGAGTTAGAAATTGATAATAGTGGCAATGCATGAAATTTAATTGACGCTACATGAGGATTATGGTAGGATGTGACTTAGTGATAAAGTTTCTAAGCTTCAAACTGTAGCTATTCAAGCCGCACACTAACGTCACCATGCGTGATAGTTCTGCTTCTACATACAGCCGCATTGAAGAAAACCGGATACTGGGTTTTCAGTGACGTCGACAGTTGATTACCAAGATGTCGAGCTATGGTTGGGCAGCAAATCTTGAGGGGAATTTTACATCCATCAGTCACGAAAAAGCCGACGTGTGTGTTTCACTTGAGGGGCGGACGACAATAGATACACGGTTCCATAACCATAAGAAGCCTGTGGAAAAGGTATATAAAGTATGCAAAGTGTCACGGCCATATACGGCTGTTATCATAGCGACGAGGTGCATTAAATCTATTCCTTATACCCGCTTAACAAGAATATATCATGTGGTGAACAAATAACAGGTGGATCCGACTGTCAAACCGATATCAGTGATCTTCATAGACCATTGCGAGAGAAGTGAGTGAGCCTTTGCTAGTGCACCATAATGCTCATAAATGGTTAATCAAATTAAGAAAATGACGTAGATCCAGGGTTAGTTTGAAATACCTTCATCGAAACCGTTAGTTGGGGGGGGGGGAAATTTACAGCTAGACTCAGTGAGACGACGACGACTCATCATGAAAGGGCTTCCAAGCATGTTGAGACGAATCTTCTCAAAATACGCATCACCTCTCCCTACGACCCTCTAAAACTAGTTACTTGTACAACTTAGGAGCTGACCATCAGGCTAACGTTACAACTTTACGTCGGCCTAAGATTGATGAGCCGAAACAAAGAGATTCAAAAGGCGTTATAAAACCGCCTTGGTTTGGAGTTGGATTACTAGTGTAAAACAACAGATGCAGTATATACGTACATTAGTAAAAGTTTGGATTGCTTAACAGTAAGCAAGTCAGGTCAAATCAAAATAAGCATTTCACACTATCAACGCGATTGAAAAACCACACGAATAAATGTATAAATATAAGCAGTGCCTAATGAGAAGTGAATACGCATATATATGGATATATACATACATATATATATATATGCGCATTGCGTTTCAAGCTAGAGATCACCTTTGGGTCCAAATGTATTCATAACAAGTGCGGCAATTAAGATGGCCTACAGTAGGACGAAATCGGGCTCGGTTAGACTGTGCTTCGCTCTGTCAAGGAATACAAGAAGTATTTATTTATTGAGTTAGTTAAATTTAGTACTAGTAAAAGGAACAATTAGCATCTTACATGGAGCTCCATACCGTGCGCAGTACCGAACAGCATTTCAAAACGTTTATTCCTGTTGTGAAATGCCACGCCACACATGGTTGGCGGCATCCGGTTTCGGATTTGCCTGTCACTGCGGCCAGCCACAGGACGCCTGCGCCTACAGAGGGACCATGGGTGGCTTGCGCTGCACCACCCACAGCTCCAACCACCCACCCCATATCCAGTGTAAACCAGAAGGAATAAGACCGGGAGGCATGTGGATGGGAGTCACGTTTCATCAACGGAGCCGGCCCACATTCCTTCACAGACAAACACAAGCGCGCTCTATTTGGGGAATCAAGCGCACACAAGGCGGCGGCTAGACCGTAGTACGCTCCACACTGTACGCTACACACAAAATTGGTAACATGCTATTTTAATGCCAGGAATAGGCCAACTCACTGTTTTCACATTCTGCGATACGTCAGTTCCTGCTAAATTGGACCGAGAGGGAGATATGAGTATTCCACGAGGTTTTACTGAATGAAGCGCAGCATCAAATAGCAGCCTATTATGATTCGTGACGTGGTATGTTTTGTTAGATGTTTTCGCGCCATTCTGTCCTGTATCTGCCTTTACCATTCGAAGCTGAGCCAAGATGTTTGGTTGTATTTCTTCCTGATACCGATGCAAGTCAGCGAATCGGAGATCGATAATTCTGCCATTGTTTACGTCTTTCTGTAGCGTCCATTCTCTGACCTTCGTTGGAATTGGCGGTTGGTACGAATCGCTACGCAAAGGGTTGCATAAATTTGTTGTCGCTTCGCACTGCATCGCTTTCCACCGCGCTGTAGCTGTCTGAGTGCCACTCAAAGGTAGTTGCTGGTGCAAACGGTTTCCGAAATCTGATTTTTGGTGTGATGTTTTGATGGTGCCTGTAGACACCATGCCTGCATAAGCATTACCAATCACCGCATTCTGCGGAGCGGATTGTACCCAGCTACAATCACCGCCACAACAGGTCAGAGAATTTGGCACAAAGTAGTGTGGCTGGGTCGCCTGTAAAACAGAGGGGTAAAGGAAGCTTCAAGGCTTTGCTCCAACAGCGATGCATAAAGATAAGATTAAGAATGCAGACAGATGCGTTGAGAAAAGCCTTGTAACCTAACGGACAAAGAACTCAGAGAGATAGCAGTTGTAATGACATGAACAATCGATTCTATAATGAAACATGACTGACAAATATTGGATGGAAAGAAAACTCACTAAGATAATCTGGAGTTCCGTGTGTTCAGGCCATTAGTTGGAACCACGCTTAGCGAGCTAGTGTACACTTGCTAAGTGGCTTGATAAACCGACCGGTCAGCAACGCCACATCAGCCATACTCTAAGCAGTAAAGTTTCCTAGTGTGCCTTTCGGTTCAGCCTAACCTTATGGTGCAAATGGTGAACGGAGCATGTTATTGGGAAGGCATTCGACCATACGTTTTAGGTTATTGTGGTAAGTTCAGTATTGTCGGTTATGGACCACGCAAATATGCTCATTCAATTCGCACTAAAGATGGTCCTGCTTGTCATATCTAATCAAAGGTTGTTTGTTGTTCAACGACTAGCCAAACGCCCTGAATAAAAGTATGTCACATGCGGCACGTGACGCAACAAGCGTAAACGTCATGGGTTCTACCGGGACTTTCAAGCAATACAACGGAGTTTATTGCCAGTCGCTAATTAATGGATCCCTAGAGTGTCCGCTCTGCCTTCCCAACAAATATGGAATGTTTTGTACATGCATCAGTGATCACAGAAGACCAAAATTTCAACGGTTGCAAAGAACACAAGTTATGTACCCGACTCTCATAGCGAAGCTGGTTACTTAGCAGCCTTGTGTGTCTTTCTTTCGACCGACACAATGAAGAGTTTCATACGTGGTGATAGAATTTCAAGAGAGCACTTACGCCATGAAGATAGGTGCAGGTGTACTTTTTTACGTTGAACAACACGAATAGTACATTTACCTCTGTGAAACCGATACCTATTGTGATCTTTTCGTAGCCTTAAACGTGTAGAAATTCCTTGCGCTAAACACAAGCCCAGACATGCAGTACCCCGTGCAAGAACAGTCCCCTATGCAAAATTGAGGAATGCCGAGTTTTTCAAATAAACAACTGACACACCGGTGACGTAGGCCGAGAGAAGGAAGAAGATGTATTGGTTCCAGATGATTACACCAACCGATTAGTTCCGCATTAAATGGTAAATAGATTTCCTGGGGAAACACTCGGTAGCAGTGACACATACCGCATAGCGCCTGGCGTTATTCATGCAGTCATTTCCCTTCAGAAATTTCAAATGAACAAGAACGAACGGCATTTATGTGGGATAACTTGATTTCAGAATGTTTCGTGTCTTCTCATTCAGCCGCTAACAGACAATTCGTGGAAAGAATAAAAAAATGCAATTGAAAAAGGGGTTC